ACCTTGCATGGAGTATTGCTGGCATAAATTTTCTGGAGCCCCTTCTAATTGTCTCAAGGTCCTTGATAAAATTCAAAGACGGATATGCAATGTAATTGACCCTGATCTGGCATCTCGTCTGCAGTCGCTCTCTCACAGACGCGTCGTCGCCTCCCTCTGTCTTTTTTACAAATACTTTCACAGTAACTGCTCCGATGAGCTGCTTTACGCTGGTTCCCAGACTTCATGAATTTAAGCGCTCAACTAGGCTGGCTTCTCGCACTCACCCTTTCACTGTTAAGAGTTAAATGTAGCCGTCTCTTCTACTCCAATCAGCTCCGTGTCTCTCACTTCTCGCCTGTGGAACTCCCTCCTCATTTTTTGTTTCCCTGGTAGCTATAATCTCCAACTATTCAAATGTAATGTCAATCGATGTCTCCAGATGCCTTGATCTATCCTCTATCCTTCTCTTCATCCTTTCCTCTATCACCCCTATTTGCTCTCGCTCCAACTCTCTTTAATCCCTTGCGTGCTAGTGGTTTCCCACCTTTCATGGAGTTGAATGCTTAAAAATAATGAGAGGAAACCATTTAGCATGAGGTTTTATCTAAAATTCATTATGGGCACTAGATTTGGCTACCAGCTTCTTGAGCCACCCAGGAATCGCGTCAACTGATTTCACCAAGAACTCTTGTGGTATTGAAAACATAACTTCTTGTATTCACTCTTGAAGTTCTTTCAAAGTATTGGTTTGGTACAGTAGACTTGCTTCTTTAACCAATTCCAAAGAAAAAAAACTCCTAGGGTGCTAAGTCAGGACTCCTGGCTGGCCACTCATGAATAAAATAGGAAGTTACTTTTCAAGAATCATGTGCATTAAATACAAGTTTACTAGTGGTAGTCAGTGTTTTTTTTCCGTGGGCAAAGTTTTTTCTCGTAGTTGATGGTTAATACCACTGGTCATACATTGATTTATGACACAAGGCCGAAGTGGGAAATGGTGGAAGGCTGGTCGACACTGTCTATCCTGCTCCAAGCTAATCCGACTGATGACCCACCAACTCTTACAATTGATCCATTCCCCATCACAAGAACACATCCTTCTCAATTCTATCCCAACATGTACCACAATACCGCACTTTCGAAGTGGACGTAAAAACAACACCCAGGATGATAAACAATTTCTAAATATGTAAAATTATATATATATATATGTGTGCGTGTGTGTGTGTGTGTAAAAATTTCAGATTGTCACTCTACCCGCGTGTACGAAATATAAAACGTGATTGAAAATAACTTCCATGTTAAAATAATTATAATTTATTTTTTAACTATAATTTGTACAAGAAATAACGCCTCAAAAACAAAACTACTCTCTTTTAATCACCATGGAGATCCTTCCCTGCCCCCCATTAGAATGTCTGATAGTCAACTTCTTGAGAGCAACTCTCTGCGTCTGCTCGGTCTCATGTTGACTGCTGGCCTGAGATGGAACAAATACATTGAGTCAATTGCTTCGCCCACTGCGAGGAAAGTTGGCTCTCCGTGCCGCGCCAGGAAATTTTTCTCCTCGGAATCGATACTTCAAATATACAAAATCAACCATTCGCCCTTGCATGGAGTATTCCTACCATATATGGTCTAGGGCACCTTCTGTTTACCTCGGAGTTCTTGACAAGATCCAAAGACGGATATGTAATATAATTGGCCCTGATCTGGTATCTCGTCTACAGTCGCTCTCTCACAGACGCGCCGTCGCCTCTCTCTGTCTTTTCTACAAATACTTACATGGTAATAGCTCCGATGAGCTGCTTTCACTGGTTCCCAGACTCCATGAATTCAAGCGCCCTACGAGGCTGGCATCGCGCTCCCACCCTTACACTGTAGAAACTTTTAAATGTAGCCGTCTCTTCTACTCCAATAGCTTCATACCTCGCACCTCTCGCCTGTGGAACACCCTTCCCAATTACTGTTTCCCTGAGAGCTATAATCTCCAACTATTCAAATGCAATGTCAATCGACATCTCCAGTCACCTTGATCTATCCACTATCCCTCTCCTCATCCTTTCTTCTATCACTCCTATCCGCTCTCACTCCAAATCTTCTGCAACCCCCTGCATCCTAGTGGCTTCACACCTTGCTCGGGGCGTAATGCTTAAAAGAAAAGAAGAGAAAAGCATTTAGCATAAGCTTTTATTTAAAATTCGATATGGGCACCAGATTTTGCTACCAGCTTCTCGAGCCGACAAGGAAACGTGTCAATCTGATTTCACCAGGAACTCTTGCGATATGGAAGATATATCTTCTTGTATTCGCCCTTCAAGTTCTTCTAAAGTCTTGGTTTCGGTAGACTTGCTCCTTTAACCCACCCCCAAAGAAAAAAATCACAGGGTGTTAAGTCTTCTGGCTGTCCACTCATACATAAAATAGTGAGTTACTTTTTAACCACCTATATATATATATATATATATATATATATATATATATATATATATATATATATATATATATATATATATAATTTGCAGATTCAAACAATTCAAATATTTATAAGGGTTTTCAGTTTCGCAGAAATCAGATACGGATTTTGGCATTTTTTAATTTTATCACACAGAAATTTTGTATGTTCTTCTTATAATAATAATTTTTTCAATTCATCATTTGACTGCCATAATTTAACCATTTTATTTTTGTTGAAATTAACAGTTGACAGAATGTTGTTTGTTTATTACTTTTAGTCAGAGAATTTAGTGTTTTGTTTGGGAAAATTTCCTACATTTCTTTCCCACGTCGCCAAAAAATACCCCTTATTCTTCCTCTCGAACTCAATGTATCAAATTACAATATAAGACTTGAACTCAGTTTAAAACTTAAAACTTTCTTGAACATGGTCAGATAAACCAATGAGATAGCGAGACCTGATCTCAGAATTTTAAACAATAAAAACTCTGAGGGATTTACACTGCCTTCTCATACAATAAAATTCTAATAGATAAGCCGAAAGCGCTTGGAATAAAAACATATTTCAGCAATTTCTACAAACATTAAGTCCAGAAAAGGAAACACTTGTTCGCATAAAAAAAAATATAACAAATTGTTGTTGATGTGTTTTTGTGCAGATTATATAACGTTTGCAGGTTAATTAAAGTCAGAAAAGATTTTTAAACTGTAAAAAATTTTTGAAGTAATAAAAATTTTTACTGATATAATTTATACTAATTAACCTATAGCTGAGGGGAGAAGAGGTGGATTAATACGTTTCGCAATGATAATGAATATATCGAACCCGACTCGAATTATAACACGACTCTCAGGTGTCCAATTCGAAATCGTTAGCCATTACACCACACGAACATAGAAGCTTACAACACCTGCCACTTTCTAGCGGTCACCCATTTAAACACAGGCCTAGACCAGCGTTGGTTAACGTCGGTGGTCGTACGAGAATCGATATTTCAATGTGATATATCTGTAAGCCCAAATGGCGTGAAAAATCTTGAAATATTGTCAGTTTTTAACGAAACATGCATTAAAGAGTGTTTCGTGTCCAAATCTACAATTACTATATATATATATATATATATATATATATATATATATATATATATATATATATATATTAAGAAATCGACAAAAAGTCCGACAATTTATTTATTAAAGACATTTTTTATGTTTAACATTCTTTTTATAGATACAAGTATTTAAGTAAATGCTCTGTTTATAATAAACAGTATTAAATAACATTTACCGGCCTGAATGTCCGAGAAATTTTCATAAAAAAATCCTGTCAAAGGACGAATATTTTCTATGAAAATTTCTCGGACATTCAGGCCGGTAAATGTTATTTAATACTGTTTATTATGAACAGAGCATTTACTTAAATACTTGTATCTATAAAAAAAGAACGTTAAACATAAAAATGTCTTTAATAAATATATATATATATATAGTAAACGTTGGCATATAATCCAAGTTGACCTATGTGATATATATATATATATATATATATGTGTGTGTGTGTGTGTGTGTGTGTGTGTGTGTGTGTGTGTGTGTGTGTGTGTAACCAAAAGACCCGAAGAGTGAAGTCATTACTACAATGCGTTCACGAAACTTCGAAGTCAGCATGCCTGAAATAACAGCACTCACTTAAATGAAAAGTTTCTCTGCATCAATTCTGTTAACGCTCTATGCTTACCTTTTGATATGACAAAACCCTGCCTGCCTAAAATTTCTTCCCACAAGTAAACTACAGAGAAAGTATCAGTGATTCAAGTACATAAAAACACTTACAATTTAATACTATAAATATATATGTGTGTGTGTATGTGTGTGTGTGTGTGTGTGTCTTGTTTCATAAGAGTTTTACTTTGTGGGCTTAATGAAAATAATCGTAGAAAATTCAACCATATTAGCGTCATCCACTTGTAAAAAAAAACTAAAAGTAATGGAAGCACTAGAAAGACAATCCAACAAAAAAAAAGACCACCACTCAATAACATCAACTATGAACACGGCCACAATGAGGTGACCGTGTTTAGAAAAAAATTCTCATCACTCTGGAAACATACATAAAAAAATCTACACATTCGGTTAAAAGTAAAAATAAAAATTCATCCTCGATAATGGGTAAAAGAATAGCCGAAAGCGCTCGGATATGCAGAACGTTTTTATGTCCAGAAAAGAAAACACTTATACGGATACAAGAAAAATTAAATAAAAAGCTTAATCAAACAAATGACATCATATATTTTGAAATGGACTAAGTCCGGCAATTATTTTAATATATTTTCTGTTGATAAAACGTGAGAGTCTTATATATATAGTCTTATATATATATATATATATATATATATATATATATATATATATAGGTCTCCCGCGTTGTTATCAAAAACATGTTCCGCCCTTGATGCCCTACTTGTGTTGTGCCTTCTGGGAATGCCAATATTTTCTAAGGGGAGAAAGAAAATATGATTAAACTAAAACAAAATAAAGTGCAAATAGTTGATGTGTTTATAAACGAAAGGAAGAAAAAGTGAGTAACAGAAAGGATCAAAAGCGTAAAGGGAAAAGATGCTGACAGGCAAGGAAAGAGGAAAAGTAAAGCAGTGTGTGTGGAGGGAGAGTAAGAGAAGGATAAGCAAGTGAGAAATTGGAGAGCAAGAATTTAAAGAAAAAGGAAAGAAAGCAAGTGCTAGAAAGAAGAAGAAGAAGAAGAAGAAGAAGAAGAAGAAGAAGGAGGAGGAGGAGGAGGAGAAGAAGAAGAAGAAGAAGAAGAAGAAGAAGAGGAAGAAGAAGAAGAAGAAGAAGAAGAAAGAGTGAAAATCAAAAGAAAAAGATGTGCTGGAAGCGGAGATATAAAGAACTGATAGAAAAAGAAAAATAAGAATTAAAAGAAAAATAAGAAGAAGAAATATAAGCAGAATAAGGTAGTGAAAGAAAAAGAAGAATAAATGTTGAAAAAGAAAAAGCGACAAAGAGGTGAATGAGAAAGGAGAGTAATAATTAAAAGAGAAATAAACGAGTCCAGATGGCAAGAAAAGAGGGAGTAAATGCAAAAGAGAAAAGAAACTAAGAACCAAAAGAAACTGGTGAGTACGAATTTAAAGAAATAGAGAGTAAGGCTAAAAAACGGAGAGGAAGGATTAAAAAGAAAAAAAAGAGTAAGGATGAAAAGAAATCGGGAAGTACGAATAAAAGTAAAAGGGGAGTAAGGATTTAAAGAAAAGGGGAGTAAGGATTTAAAGAAAAAGGTAGTGCGAATTAAAAGAAAAGGGGAGTACGAATTAAAAAAGGGAGTGCGAATTAAATGAAAAGGTGAATACGAATAAAAGAAAAAGGAGTTTTCAAATTAAAAGAAAAAGAGAAATACGTATAAAAAAGGAGAATAAATATTTAAAGAAAACGGAGAGTGCGAATTAAATAAAAAAAAGGTGACCACGAATTAAAAAAGGAGCGTATGGATTCAATGAAAAGGAGTGTACGAATTAGAAAAAACAGAGGATTACGAATAAAAAAAGGAGTGTGCGAATTAAAAGAAAAAGAGGAGTACGTATAAAAAGGAGAGTAAGGATTTAAAGAAAAGGGGAATGAGAATTAAAAGCAAAGGGGAGTACGAATTAAAAAGGGGAGTGCGAATTAAAAGAAAAGGTGAGTACGAATAAAAAGGAGAGTAAGGATTTAAAGAAAAGTGGAGTGAGAATTAAAAGAAAACTAGGAGTACGAATTAAAAATCTGGGCGTAAATATTCAAAGAAAAGGTAGTACGAATTAAAAGAAAAGAGGAGTACGAATAATAGAAACAGGAGTGTAAGAATTCAAAGAAATCGGAAAGTAAGGTTTAATAGTAGAAGGAGAGCAAGAATTAAAAGAAAAAAGAATCACTGCTGAAATAAAAGAAGTGAAAGAATTACAAAAGAAGAGCAAGGGTTGAAAAAGAATGGCCTGGAAGAATTAAAAAAAAGGAGAGTAAGGATTAAATACAGAAATAGAGCAAGATTTACCAAACGGAGAGTAACAGCTGAAAGAGAAAGCCGAGTAAGAATTTCTTTAAAAAGAATACAAAATGTTAACTCAAAAAGAAATAAAAGAAACGCAAACATGCATAAGAAGTGAATAGCAAAGCAACTGAAACAAGACAAGTAAAGGAAAAAGAGAAACCGAAAAGAAAGAGTGAAGAGAGAGGAGGGATAAAAAGGAGAGAGGGGCACTGTTCACAGAAGAAAATCAGATAAGGAACAGGAAACAGAGAGAGAGAAAGAGAGAGAGAGCAAGAGCGGGTGGATGGAGAAGGAGAGAGATAGAAAAGGATAAGCGAGGGAGTTGTACAGTTGCGGAGGGGAGGAGAGCGGCAAGCCGAGTCGGAGAAGTGATCATGAGTAGGTAGTAAGATAGCGATAGTAAGTCACGTGACCGAGCGGGACTTGCAAAATCTGTCCGCCTGTGTCAGTGCAGCAACTGGGCCTCAAGCCAACAGCGAGTAAATAGCCGAGTTACAGAAAAAAGAAGAGGCAGGATGGAAACTACAAGCCGATACGGCATAGTAGTAAATTCATATATATATATATATATATATATATATATATATATATATATATATATATACGCGCACACACACACAAACATCGAGAGATGCAGACTTTAAATAGATTACAGTGCTTTATAGACTAAAAATACGTGCCGTAAACAAACCAGTTCGGCATTGTTTGAAATTTGCTAGATTTATGAGGGAAGAGTACTCAGTATCGGAGATAGAGCGTTTGGGTATATAGACAGCTTGGCTATAGAAATCAGAACAGCATAGTGACTGTCCGTTTCACACATCAAGTAATCATCAGGTTCGATATCAGAGATAGATCTTTTTTAGATACAGAGTGCGTAGGTATAGAAATCAACATTGAATGGTGATAAGAAAAATTGTATTGTTTAAAACATTAGGTTTACGTTTCCTACTGAAGTTTACTTCGTCTCCGCCTGACCTCTGAAAATTTATTGACTAATTATTCTTTCTCTTTAATAGAAGTAGATAGGTTTACCGATCGTCCAGTTAGCACACCGCCTCGATTTTTTCAAAAAAAGTAAAAGTTCATGCCTTCTTTCCTGATTAGGATCGTGTATCCGGTTCCTTCTAATGTCTACTTCTAACGTCTCCGCTTAAACTTAAACCTTTTCTTTGCCTATTATTTTTCGCGTCCTGGGTAAGACGATAAACTACGTCCAACAGCAAGGCCTCTGATCAGGAGGTTTTAATGAGGGTGGAGCCACCTGTTAATTGCTGGTGTTTCCAGGTCCACCCTGGAATTTCTTACTCGGCAGAAATCAAAACTGCATTCCTTATTTATTTTATTTTATTTTTCTAATCTATTCACTTTATGTAAGGCAATAATGTCACTAAGACGCAAGGAGGGAAAGAGAAATGAAAAAACCTTCAGAAAGAATTGGAAATACCATTATTTACCAATAGTTGGGATCCTGTTAGGGTCCCAGCTATGGACAAATAGTTTACCCCCAAAATGGCACTATGAAAGTGAAAAAATAGGTTTTAATCCCAGCAATAATTTTTTGCGATAAAATTACCAGCAAACATTTTTGAAGGAAAAAATATTACCAGCAATATATTTTTGTAAATAATTATTACCAGCAATACATTATTACCAGTAATACATTTTTTAAGAAAAAAAATATGACAAGCAATATATTTTTGGTAAAAAATATTACCAGCAATAAAAAATCTTGTTGGCATTAAATAACCCATTGAGGTTGATATGCTGTAAAGCAAAGCCAACCAAACCAAACCAAACTTAATTATTTTTTCCTCAATAGGAGTATATAGGTTTGCCTATCGTCCGGTTTACACTCCTTCCCGTTCTTTTGAACAGGAGTAAAGATTTATCCCTTGCTTCCTGGTCAAGATTGGATTTCCAATTCCTTCTGAAGGCTTTTCATTTCTCTTTAACTCCTAATAGTCCCTTGCGTCTTGGTGGCATTATCGCCTTACTTAAAGTGAATAGATTAGAAGGATAAAATAAAATAAATATGGAATACCGGTTCAATTTCTGCTGAGTAAGAAATTCGGTCCTCACCGGGTGCAGCACATAAAATTCATCATTAAATCATCAAATTATTACTCAATGCATTTTCATAGTAAAATAATTCAAAATAGATTTTCATTGTAAAATCATTTCCAGTTGCCTTAGCGTGGGTTAAGGTTAACGAGCTTGGTCTGTTTGACAATTTCTGTTAAGTACAGTTTTCGAGGAGGAGGCATGATGGAGTAAGGGATAGCGGCTCGGATTAAGGAATCGGAGAGCCGAGTTCGAATTCCAGTCGAATCCATTATATTCACTGGAGAAAGGTATGAATCATCTTTTCTCCCCCCCCCACCAGCTATGGACAGGACAGACCGGGTTTTATAGCTTTGGATGGTAACTAGTCTACACCAGAAAAAAATGGCAAGATTTTCCTCATCAGTCATGTATCGAAAGATACATGATCGCCTAAGCGTGTATCAATCATGGCACATAACTGACTGACATTGAAAAGTGCTACTTAGAAATCTATTATTTTTTCTTGCCAAATTTCCTTATATGTAAAATAGCTACATCATGTTTACTTTAATTTTAACCTAAAAGTGACAAAACCTATTGAAATAGGGACTACTTAAATCTTTATCTATTTTCAAAATGAAACCATCTCTACCAGGCTCATTGAAAATAATCTTTAAATTCTTTTCAGTATTAATACAAGATGTTTAATACGAAGCCTGGGGGTGTAATGGATAGCGGCCTCGGAATGAGGAATCGGTAGAGCCGAGTTCGAATTCTAGTCGAATCCATTACATTCATTTACGTACTAATACCCTTGGGAAAGGTATGAATCCTTTTCTTCTCCCTCCAGCTATGGGTAAATAGCAGGACAGACTGGGTTCTATAGCCATGGATGGCAACTGGTCTACCGCAGTAAAAATTGGGGTTCTATAGCCTTGAATGACATCTGGTCTACCGCAGAAAGAAATGGCAACCTACTGAGGGAAAAAATCCGCCTCGTCAGTCATGTATCGAAAGATGGCATATAACTGACTGACATTGAAATGTTCTACTTAGAAATCTGTCATTTTTCTTGCTAAATTTCCTTATATGTAAAATAGCTACATCATCTTTATTTTAATTTTAACTTAAATCTTTATCTATTTTTAAAATGAAACCATCTCTACTAGGCTCATTGAAAATAATCTTTAAATTCTTTTCAGTATTAATACAAAATGTTTAATACCAAGTCTGGTGGAGTAATAGATAGCGGCTCGCACTGAGGAATTGGAGAACCGACTTCGAATTTTAGTTATATGCTAATACCTTGGGATATCCTCTTCTTCACCCCCAGCTATGGGTAAATAGCAGGACAGACCGGATGCCTTGGATGGCAACTGATCTACCAGAAAGAAATAACAACCTACTGCGGGAAAAATCTGCCTCGTCAGTCATGTATCGTCCCGCATGGCACATAACTGACTGACTGTGTTCGATCCTTGTTGACATCCTAACTCAAAATCGTTTTCATTGTTAAAATCATTTGCAATGAATTTCCATAGCAAATTAATTTCCAGGTGCCTCGGCGTAATGGTTAGCACAACGAGGCTTGTTTACCTTTAGTACTGAGTTCATCCCTCACTAGGTGCCCGATACAAATTTCATGTCGTAAAATCAATCAACTTAATCTATTTTCCTAGAAAAATCTTTTACAGGGCATTTGAACGGCGTCTTGCGTTGATAGACTGACTACTCTGGTTGAACGTTTCGACTGAGTAGTTCGTTCTGACGTCACTAGGTGAAGAAAACTTGACATTAAATAATTTAACAAGGATTGATAGGTCAAGAAATCGACCAATCAACGCAAACTTCTGCAGCTGAGGCCTTGCTTTCGATGTCGACGTCAGATTGACGAAAGCTAACGACCTTTATTTTTAACATACCGTACTGATTGAACATCTGTAGCATTCACTGCCATATAGGAGATTAGATATTACATAGCAGTTCAGCACTCTTTTCTTTGTTTCTAACGACATTTTCCTATCTCTTAATACTTTGCTTAGTTTATGAAAGGCATGAGGAGATTGTCCATCATTGACTGCTATATAGGAGATGAGAGATTACATAGCAGTTCAGCACACTTTTCTTTGTTTCTAATGTAATCTTCCTGTCTCTTAATACTTTGCTTAGGTTATGAAAGGCATGAAGAGATTGTCCAGTATACCCTGCCATATAGATTAGATATTACATATCAATTCAGAACTCTTTTCTTTGTTTCTAACGACATTTCCAGTTTCTTAATACTTTGCTTAGCTTCTGGAAGGTTACTTTTGCTGTTCAAAAGCACCTAAAATACTTCCTATATAACCATATTTTTTTCTTGTTTAATCTTGGTGCCACCAAACTGTAGTTTTCTTCTTGGTGTCTTCCGTTTGCTGGCAAATATATATTGTTTTTAATGTTTAACGCTTACTTCACACTTTCCTTTACTACATTATGGACGACTTCTTCCAATCCCACTTCTTAAGCTAAATATCTGTTGTCCTAAAAAGCTCTGTGTCAAAAGATTTTTTTTTTAAAAAATTTTTCAATATATATATATATATATATATATATATATATATATATATATATATATATGAAGAAAAATATACTGAAAAACAAACAAAAATCCTAATATGCGATTATGCTGTTTTAATATTTAATGTTAACGTCGGACGTTTCGGTCTAATAGACCATCTTCAGGACATATTCATAAAACATAATTAACATAGACCATATACAATTCAACATGAAAAACACGATGGACATAAAAGCAATACCAATCCAAAGAGATTTCAGTTATGCTATGGGCAAATAGCAGGACAGGCCGGGTTGTATAAACTTAGATGGCAACTGATCTACCGCAGAAAGAAATGGCAACCTACTGTGAGAAAAAATCTGCCTCGTTATCGAAAGATACATGATCGCTTAAGCTTGTATCACGCATGGCACATAACTAACTAGATTGGCAGATAGGTCCCACCTTTGTACTAGCTCGATGCAACCGCTACTTCTACTCTCACAGTTTCTTTTCTTGCACCTCCCACTTGTGGAACTCTCTACCGATTTCTTGCCCTCCCATTTGACTAAAATTTTAAAAATTAAATGCAACATCAATCGCCATTTTTGACTTGTTTAACCCTGTTTCTTTTTGTCCTATCGTCAATCATTTCTATTTTTATTCTCTTTCTCTTTCACTTTCACCCATTGCATCGTAGTGACTTTATCGCCTTGCTTGGGATAGAACGATTAAAAATATCTGATCAGTCAAGTAGCAATATCTGTCAATATCTGATGAGATGAGGTATT